CGAGATAATAAAATAATGAAAAAATAAAACTGGAGTAGATGATGAGGCTTCGGCCTAAGCTCCAGATAGCTTAGCGCTAGCTGATGCCACATCCAGATCATGTGTTTCTTAGAAAACTCCACAGGATGAAAGTTCACAAAAGTGCTGCTTTTCCCTCTGTCTTCTTGTCACTTCGTATTTATACTTTGCTCCGCTCATTGTATTTCCACTGGTGAAAAGTCCCTCTAAAGTGCATGGATGAGGTAAATGGAATTCTTCTCAAAAACAGGTTTGTGTCCATTCTTCGGCTCAGACCGGAACCATTGTGTGTTGCATGTGCTGCATCTGAGACAACATTTCCTGCTGCACACTAGCAATTAGTATGTCTCGGTGTGTTGGTGTGATTATTCCGAGTCTATCCAGCTCCCTGTGGGTACAGAGACATAGATACATGTTCAGACACAACATGTAGTATTTAAAGTCAGGGAGAGAGATTTCTTATCAGCACTAGTTTCATGGAAACACCACCCAAACCTGACATTACATTCATTTGGCAGACACTGTCATCCTAAATGACCTTAAGTAACAACAGGCATGGGTGGATCCAGGAGGTGGCCAGGAGTGTCACAGGCCACCCCCAGAATCTGATTGGCCAGCCCTGGTGCCACCCCTGCCATGTGATGCTTATCAAAATGAAAAACAATGACAAATTGTTGCCTTAAATGCAGCTGACATTTTTCTGGTGCTTTATAATTGGTATTGGCCAAATATATTTTATTTTATATCATGTATGCAGCATGCTATGTAGCAGCAATGTCCCTGGATGGGATTAAATAAGGAGCACAGCCAAAGTTAGTTAAAGAAAGTAAGAAAGTACTGTGTCTCATTTGTACACAAAGTAAAGAATTTGATTCTTAATAATGTATGGCTTATTATTCCATAAAACACACAGAAATATTTCAAATGCAACCCCCCCCCCCCCCCCCCCCCTTTTAGATTTTTTTGTTTCTCCCCTGACAACAATGACGAGAAGACAGTTGCCAAGTTATTTCAGATGAAACTTTAAGTGCACTGACAGGTCATGGATATGCATGGCTCTTTTATGTATTTTTAATAGATACTGAATGACAGCAGAGTTCTGTGACACAGAGAAGTAAGCTACTGTCAGTTCTGCACTAAGAAATGTGATGAGTAAATGTCAAAGTGACTTGAACTTGAATCCATTACACATGAAGGTACACTTACTGGTGTGTGAGAGCCAGGAGGCTTTCAAGGCTGGTATAACCTGCTGCCGCCAGGGTGTCTCTGTACCTCTCCAACCCAACAGACTGCAACCACTCACACACCGACCATTCGGACACACACACACCTGGTACGACCACACACACCTCTGAACCCACCCCTGACTCCACCATGGTGGGTGTGGGTCTGTAAACACAGAGGAGGCGAGAAGGCAGGTTGGAGGTGGTAAAGCACATAAATAGAAGTGTGAAATCATAAGTGAATGAGTGCTAGGCATATTAAGCTACCAGTGAGGTTGAAAAGATGTAGGTGTGGGTGTGAGTACAGTATGAGTGTGGATTTATGTGAAAATGCATGTATTTGTCCCTTATCATTCCTATTTATGCTTCTTTCTACATGTACATCCACAGTATGTACCTCTCCCCTCCAGTCCGACGCAGAGTACCAGGGTTACGGATGAGTTTATCCAACATGTTGAGTATCTGGCTGAAAGTGGGTCTCTCTGCTCGCTCCCGCTCCCAACAGTCCAACATGAGCTGGTGCAACACGACAGGACAGTCCATGGGAGCCGGCAGGCGGTAGCCTTCTTCTATCGCTTTAATCACCTACAGAATGGACAGAAACAAGTTTTATATTTTTATCACACTGAATCCAAAGGTAGGAGTTTACCAAAAGCTGGTCGATATCTGAAAAATGTTTCACTGTGCCACACACAAACACAGCTAGTGGCTCTATGAGGTTCATGTATTTCAAACACTCAAGACACAGAGATGACCTTCCGCTAACCTGCAAAAGTGACACATAATCTTTCATTAGCCTATGAAAATGACACTTGCCAAACGTTTTGCCATTGTTTGACAACACACCCGAATTCTTATGGTATTTTCCTGAACCCTTGTAGACTCTTCTAATGATGTGGAATCAAAAACGATCCAGTCCAGTACAGGAAAAATATCATTTTAATCAGTTTCTCAGCTATGTCCATTTGTCCCGTAAACAAAGATGGTGACAGGAAAAGATGTTACTCTAGTTTTGTGTGAAAGCGGCTCAACGTTGAGCTTTGTTTGTTTTTGAAAGCAGCTCCACTTTCACCAAAAAAAAAAAAAAACCTGCGATAAAGGTGATTTCATATCCTGTCACAATCTTAGCTTAATTGAAAAGAAGCTGTTTTACCTGAGAAACTGGCAAAATGTTTTCTGGATTGGAATGTTTTGATTCTGCATCTTTAGAAGAGTCTATGATGCTTTGGGAAATGCCTTCAGAATTTGGGTGAGCATTATGAAATGCTGATACAGGGTTAAAACGTTTGGCAAGTCTCGGTTTCACAGATTTACAAAAGGTTATCTCTGTCATTCAAGTGTATGTAAGACATGAGAGGTACAAACTGGGGCTAAAAATGGAACCTTGTAGTCTGTCTGCCATGGCAGGTTTTCCCAGTTCCATACTACATACTAATAGTGCATATGCAGTACCTATTGTCACAGTATACAGTTCTTACAGTTTTCATATGAATAAATCAATGTGCTTTATGGTTTTGTTCAGGAAATAATGAAAATCATTTGCCAGTTTTCCAAAGAACATCAGTCAGATATCCATTTTGAACCAAGACTGCCAAGTAAATTTCACAAAAAACCCCCAACGTTTTTCCAATGATTTATTACTTTCTTTTCGTTTTCCAGGCTCTTTAAAGAGCAGTCTCACCACAATCTGCGATCTATTTTAGGTTTCTTGCACCTGTGAGCAGCTCTTCTATTTCTTATGTGCCCTGCACTGTGTACATCAACAGAAATAAAGCAGATTGGGTAAAACACTACACAATCAAATCTTGCATTAGTAAGTAGCATGGAATTAGATCACCCACATGAGATATAAGCCAATACCCAAGTGTTTCACTAACAGAAATAAGTTAAAACAACAGAAGGGCAGCTCAGCGTGCACTAATTTTCTTCAGGAGAAAAGTAAATAAGATGAATAGAACAACTTGAGAATGTCTCATCAGGAGAGTTTTATTAAACTACACAAATGCTGCAGATGAAATAAATCAAGTGTGAAAATTTCCATATGCCACACTGGCTCTTTGACCTACTCAATCTTAACAAGCTCTGATGGCAACGTGATTGCAAATTTGCTTTGAAACTGGATTTTAGTCTCAGATCTCAGAAAGTCTTCAGAACAACTAAATCACCCTTATATTTATGAAGTGTGTGTGCTTAGGATAATGCTAAGTAGCAATTCATCTGTATGAAGTTTAAATATTAGTCTTTAATAAAGTGATTTTTGACTAGTGAACAAAACCTTGGCTTCCAGTCCTTTCTGTGGACGATTTAAAGGCAAAATTTGCAATTTTCTAAATGGTGCAGAGGTCAAAGACACGGGATCAGCATTCAGTATGTCACATGGACAGCTGTTTATTTACAGAAGTCCTCTCCTAAAGAAGTGCTGCCTGTTTAATTTATTCAGCTGTTTAGATGGGGTTAATTTAAGTCCAATATGAGCACTGTACGCAACTAAAAGTTTAATTTGACTTCCCTAGAAAGCCACAGCACACAAATTATGCTTAAGAAAAACTGTAATTGATGTTAATGCTGGTGGCTGTCAAAGTGTTTAGACAGGGAACTTGAAATAGTTTTCTTTTTTTTAAACGTGGGTCTTATTTTAGTATTTTCTGTCCATCACATAGCCTCACAATGGAGTGTATGGGGGCGACCACATGAGCAATCAGACTGACTGGTGTCTCTAAGCACACCCCCGCATTTGCCACATTATATAAACCACTTATCTGGAAATGAAGATGAAGGTGAACCTTCAAGTTATTATTTAAACTGTAAACATTCATTACATCTTAAAGGACTACTCCCTATTTCATCTTTGACCTACTGTACCTACCATGACTGTCTGCTCACTCAGTACACACTTTTGTTTTCTTTCTTAGAACAACATGGTTAAACTGGAGCGTAAATCTGTTTAAATGTGCGGCTGCTTTCCCAGAATCTGATTCATTCATTCCTTAAATTCATAACTTAATAATGGAAATTTGGATGTGTATCTCTCTTCTTTAATGCCTGTGTCTATGAGGCAAATGACTCACATCCTGGTTGTTCATGTCCCAGTAGGGTCTCTCTCCATACGAAACAACTTCCCACATGACAATACCATAACTCCACACATCACTGGCCGTGGTGAACTTCCTGTAGGCTATGGCCTCTGGAGCTGTCCATCTGATGGGGATTTTTCCTCCAGGGGAAAGATAAGTCCCAGTGGCCTCCTGAAAACATTAGTAATGTTCAGTGAAAAGTGAAAAACGTTTGTTGATTTCATTCATTGATTCATTGATTGATCCACTGGTTGGGTCACTTATCCCAAACTTCTGCATTTACTCATTTCAGCTTTATTCTCTGATTGATGTTTATGCATTTAACAAATTCCATAACCTTGAATGCTATTTATTGCTATCACACATTTTTTGTTAAATGCTGCCACAGATTTATGACCTGCTGAAAGCACATTAGTCATTCAAGTGATAATGAATAATAAATCTGCAATTAGCAGGTTTATCAAAAAAAACAAAAGACTGTACACTCACATCTGGTTTTGTGTACTTTTGTGTGCGTCTTACCCTTGTAGTGTAGGCAGCCTCCGGGTCGTCCTCCAGAACTCGGCTCAGGCCAAAGTCTGACACCTTGCACACCAGATTGCTGTTGACCAGGATGTTTCGAGCTGCCAGGTCTCTGTGAACGTAGCTCATATCTGACAGGTACTTCATTCCTGAGGCGATGCCGCGCAGCATGCCGACCAGCTGGATCACTGTGAACTGGCCATCATGTTTCTGAAATATTTAAATTATGTAAATGGAGATAAATTATAAAAAATAAAATAAAATGGAAGTAGCAGGTCAACATGGACACCCAACAATCATTTTCAGTACACTGGAAAATATTTTGTAACAGAAAAATGTACATACACGAAGAAAAGCATCCAGGGATCCATTTTCCATGTATTCTGTGATAATCATCAATGGTTTGCCTAAATAGGTAAAGAGTTAGAAGTATTAGCTGAAATTGCACATTATCAGCCCAGAATGCTACTACTACTCACATCTGGTGACGACACCCTCCAGCCTGATGATGTTCGGGTGGTCAAACTGTCCCATGATGGAGGCCTCAGACAGGAAGTCCCTCCTCTGTTTGTCAGAGTAGCCCGCCTTCAGACTCTTGATGGCCACGTAGATCTCCCTCTTTCCTTGCACATGCAGCCGACCACTGCACACCTCCCCGAACTCTCCTACACACACACACACACACAGAAAACAGCAAGTTGCCGCCAAGTAAACATGTGTGAGTGGGTTTGTGTTTGTGTGTGTACAACCACTAATGCCAGGCTTACCCATGCCAATAACTCTCTCGATGTGAATACTGTTAACATCAATTTCTTTGGCAAACTCGTGGATGGCCTGGTCAGGGTCTTCATAGGTGAACGGGTCCACATAGATTTTGACTCCTGCAACAGAGGAGAGGTGGGAGAGGACAGGAAGCGAGGGAGGAGGAGGAGGAAGGGATACAGAGGAGGATGAGACATAGGACTTGTATAACTACTGCATATGTTATGTAAATATCTTGTGTGCATGTGGATAATAGAGAAGAAGGAGAAGGAACCTGTCATTTTAATGTATGTGTGCTCTTGGACTTGGGCTTGTATTCTTTGCTACAGAGTGAGGACAGTCCTGGAAAGTGAGGACATTTTGGCCAGTCCTCACTTTGTGAAACCCCTTTTTCAGGGTTAAGACTTGGTTTTAGAGTTCAAGTTAGACTCAAATTTAGGTTAGGCTTAGGGTAAGGGTTAATTGGTTAGTCATTTAGTTTTGATGCTTAAGGTCAGGGTAAAGGGCTAGGGACTGCATTATGTCAATGAGTTTCCTCACAAAGACAGAATGTGTATGTTTGTGTGTGCATGCACGTGTGTTTGTACAGCCTACCTGGGTTAAGATGCTTCTCCTCCTCTGAGTCCTGTTTTGTTTTACTGTACTTGCTCCTCCTAATGAGACATAAGAAATGATGGACATTTAACACACAGACATTTAAGGGAGTGTCAGAGCCTTCATTTTTGTGATGAACAAGCCATATGTGTCACATTGTTTTTAACTTTGTGTCTTTTTTTTCCAGGAGCACTGTGCATTTTTTTGAAGTATTTACCACAATAGAAAGTGACGACAATGAGAACAGAGAGCAACAGTCGGTAGAAAGGACACAGAGGCGGCAGATGAAAGCATATAAGGACTAGAGGGAGGAGGGGCGATGCCTCAGGTAGCGCGAGATAAAAGGTGTTTTCCATTAAACAAAGAAACTGTCAAAAACACCTTTGTGGATGAACAGGTGTGTGTGTGTTTGCAGGCACCTGGGTATTCCTGTGTGTGTATGCGCACACACCAGTGGAAGCTTACACACATGCTTTGCTGCTGAAGAGACAGTAATGACAAGTCAGGGACAAAGGGATTATCACTGTCTCCACTCTAATCCCTTTTAAATGCTCCAGGTAACACACACACACACACACACACACACAATGTTTAGTCACACAATAGCAGGGGTACTGTGTGTGTTGTTTGTGTGAATTGTGGCAGTTTGGTCAAAAGCAATAGCTGAGGTAGAGGCAGCACATATGCTGAAGTCAGTGATGCATTGATGAGGAACTTTGAGCCAACATAACGAGCATATAGGTGTGCATGTCTGCCTGTGTGGATTCTTTTGTATATTTGTATGCGTGTCTCTGTTTGTGTGTATGTATACCTGCGGCTAATGATGAAGATAGCTGCAGATATCAGCAGTAAAATTCCAACCCCGCTGACAGACAGCAGCATGAAGGCTGAGTTAACTCCTTCTCCAATCAGAGGGAAGGGATCTGACATGGACCGACACAGACGTCAGCAGCCAAAGAGGTACGACTTGCTCATATAAAGTTGAATGCATCCTCTAACACTACTCAGTGTTATTATCAGAATACCTGAATTAGTGGAGAATTCAAAGGGAGCACTGAACTCTCCGTACCCAGCAGCTGTGCGAGCACGTACGTGGAACACATACACAGTGAGGGGGTTGAGACCTGTGACATGGGCGCTCCGAGAGAAGGTCCTCATTATGCGGTAGGATCTCTCTCTCTGATCCTGATTAGATGGGACAAAAAGGGAGGGGCTCTTTTCATTACCTGCATACAAATCCATCTTTACCATCAGTGAAATACAAACAGCACTACAACACAGTGACATTCTATACAGCTTCCTGAGCTGCATTAACCTACCGGCAACTCACCTTTTCATAAAACTTGACCTCGTATTCCAGGATGACCCCGTTGGGTCGATCCGGCTGTTGCCACGACAACGACAAGCTGTGCCTGGTGACGTCGGTGGCTTGGATGGACGGCACTGGGGAGGGAGCTGAGAGATGAAGGGGGATAACTGAATCAGTATAAGGACAAACTGTTTATTCTTTGACACTGCTTAATTATTGTTTCACAGTCCTGCATGTTCTGTGTGGTGCCTGTTTGTCAACAATCCCATTGACCCCGTGAACCTGAGAACTGACCTAAATCTCATTCCTTCCTGTTCCACAGAGACATGCCTCATTCTTCACTCTCTCTCCTCTTAAATCCATTCATTCCTCGTCCCCCTTTTGGCATTCATATAATATCAGGCCATATGGTGGTGCTGCTTTCACTTGACACATCCCAGACACGCTCTCATGCTGTAGACACACGGCTAAGTTATTTCCCTGAGGCACCTGGGCCTGAGCAGGTGCGCTGGCTTCTAAATGCCACCATAAAGACTTAAGGCAAGGACAGTTGAGAAGTATCAGCAAAAGCAAAAAGAAAAGCGTACACTGAAAACTAATGGAGAGCATGTGTGAGGGACGCCACACAGCTGCTGACACCGCTACAACTAAAATGAAACACACCATAAAATCTGGGTGATTTTTCAAACACTTCCGTGGTAAAGAGCTGACGTGAGGAAAATCCCACACTTAGAAACACTAATACTGTTACATGTCAACAATTTTCATATGCGGTGCTGCAATTTACTTTTTCGTTATATCTATTTCCCCTCAACCAGCTCAGTGTTTTTGTATTTAAGTTTGTGATTTACATTTCCAAGGATGCTCTTTGACATCCTCTTGAGAACACCCCTATAATTAATTCAGCTCTTGTTAGGTGTAGGAGGACAGAGTAATAACTATGGCAACTATGACAGTGATAGTAAGAGCTTCAGAGAGCAAGAAAAGTGTCTCATGGCTGTGCTTCAGACCGGTAGCTCTGCCTCTTCTATGATGGACGTGTTCTTGCATGATTGCTCAACATTTGTTTTCTTCTATTACAATCCATTGTGGTTATTATAAAAGCAATGCAAATTGAAAGCAAATTTAAGACAAATATAACAAAACAACTTGATGCAGACCTGTTTGTAAAACTAATTTATTACATTTTTTTCCATCAAATGTATTTAAAATGTTTCTAAAGTGGAATGCTTTTCTGGACTTCAGAAAGAGACAAAAAGCATGAAACTTAATTGGAAGGTGTTGTGAGTAAAAAAAAAAAAAAAGTATTCCAAATACATTTACTTACTATTCTGAATGCAAAAACGCATCACTGTTGTTTTGCAGTCCTGAAGTGTTTTAGGGTAGATATTACCTTTATCATGTGAGAAAGTAGCTACATGCAGAATGCTACTGTAGTTTTGAACATTACTCATGAGGCCTTTCTTCTCTTTGAGCTCACATGCACTGACCCACTTACATGCAACATCTATAAGCAGATTTTGTGTTAATGCAACAGTCAACAATCTGATAAACACATGTATCGCACACAAACACTTCTCTCTTCTCACCAGCTTGGTTGGTGGTGATGGTGACAGACACGCTCTGGGATGCCCCTGCACCGCTGGCCTGGGAGACCCCGTTGCGTGCATGGATGATGAAGGTGTAGTGTGTGTGAGCCCTCAGCTCGCTCACCACCACCCTGGTGGTTTTCAGGTCGGTCTGGCCCGGGGAGAAGAGCACGTCGGAGCCACAGGGCAGGCACAGCTGAGAGCTGGAGCCAGAACTGAGTCTAGGGTAATCCCTGGGTATTGGTCTGCTCTGAAATACACCTCTCCCTGCCTGGACTTCAGATCCCACAATCCCCTGGTCTGACTGCATCCCCAGGTCACTGTGCTGAGCCTCGGGCTGGGAAAGGCTGTGATTTCTGGGGAGGGCTTTACTGTCAGTCTGACTGTGGCTGCCCGTTTGACAGATGAGACACTCCAGGCCGTAGCTGGTGTCACTTCTTCCTCCCAGCCTCCGAGGGGGGGCCCACTCCAAGACCACCGAGGTTTCATTCACAACTGAGATGAGCTGTTGTGGGGCTGAGGGCGGCTCTGAGGAAGAGACAGGAGTAAACCTGAGTATGAACAAAACTACATATATATTGTATACTGCACAAAAGGGAAGTGGAAGTAGATTGGGAGTGGGGTTGGGGCTGTGGTGGGGGAACATAGTGAGTTTTTGGCATGGGTTGGAATGCCCACATCTGGCACTAGACTGAAAACCATACAGTTCTTAAAAGTTTCTGATGGGTTGGCATTTCTTTTTTGTGTGTGTGTCTAAGAGATTGTTTGCGTGTGTGTTTTCATTTTTCCCAGGCCAAGGAAACCATATGCTGTATATAGGCATAATTAAGTTTATGACACACAGACCGAGGTCTCCGAGTACGTCACACAGAATGTAATCACAGGCATAAAGAGATGCAGAGTGCAAGAGAGAGAGAGAGAGAGAGATTTATTCACTTCTCAATGTCTTTAGTTATCCCTCTCAGACAGAATGTAGATGGTGGCTTATTCATAAGTAATGGGATCATGAAACAGAGGTGGCATTCATACATATATTTGTGCCTGTATCTCTCATTGTTTGGTAGAGATAGAGAGGTTGGGAAATGATGAGTGAGCTCTGCAAACTATGCACACACATACAGTATATGTGTGACTGTCTGTGTGTGTGTGTTCTTACGGGTACAAGCCATAGAGGGAGGGTCGCTATCGGCACGGAAGAATCCAGAGTTGCAGTCGCAGACACTGGCACCGTCTCTGAGCGAGTGGCTGTGAGGAGGACACTTAAAGCATCCAGCATCTGAAGACCTGGCCTTGTAGAAACCAACAGAACAGGCTGCAGAGAGGCGGACATGAACAGAAAGACGGATCTGTGACTTCACTTTGATTTGATTGATTTGATTTGATTTATTCTTTCAAGCATGTAAAGACAGTTGATATGACAACACACATGATTGTACACATAATCCAATATCAATTTGCTTATACCTAGTACATGCTTGAATGGAGTAGGAAGAAGTCAGACTTATCCAGTCCTACCCCATGACATCATCTTACCATCATTGGTTTGCAAGCAGTAAATGATTCACTTCTACACACACACATATTATACTAAAAAAAGAATAACAGTGTTAACATTCTTACATAATTACATTCTTAAATAATTCTCTTCTACACCACACAAGTAATATACTAAAGAATTATTACAAAGTGTTAACATTCATACACCACACCCACAATAGTCCATCTAACAACTTTAACAACAATGCCACTCAAAGCTGCACACCTAAAAGCAGAACATGTGACACTGGAGAAAAATGTACACAGCACTTAAAAGAAAGGTTCACACATTTTACACATCAAAGTGATGTGTCTTGAGTCAGCATCGGCTGGGACTGTGGCGAGTTAGAAAGAAGCAAGCTTGCCAGACTTCTGTGGTCTGCTCTACACTTCAGCTTGAGGCTACATTAGCCGCTATTAGCAGAAGACGCCTGAATTGCCAACTGAAGTGTAGTTTATACATAAACACACTAGTGAGTGAAAACAGCACTATAAAAGATACGAAATACACACATTCAGTATATTGTATGTGTTTTGTAAAGTTCATTGTGCCACTGTCAACCTGCTGTGGAGCAACATGTCGATGAGCAGGTCCCAGTTCTGCTCATATTTGTGCTCTACTGGCTCGTGCAATAAAGCCAAAAAAAAACAAACAAACCCTGAATAGAATAGTCAATGACGATAAAATTTATTTTTAAATAGTTATTGATTGATCATTTAAGCATTGTTTTTCACACAGACATGTCTGAAAATTCATTCCAGTTTAAAAATTGTAAATATTTATTACCTTTCTTTGGTTTTAATGTTTGCAGAGTAAATATATTTGAGTTTGGACAGTGGGCTGTAAAATGTTGTACTGGGCATTTTGCTGTTTCCTGGCTTTTTACAGAAATGTTAATCAGTCCAAATCAATAACAAAATAAAATAAAATTCATCATCTAAAACCCCTATTGTGCACAGTCACACAGGTGATGATAGATTTCTCAATGCTGAGCAATGTTAGATTCAAAACATTCAGAAAACTCCTCTCTGCTAATATTTTATGAAAAAAAAACATTTAACATGTTTTAGGCCCTGGAGACACACAATTTTGTTGAGAAACACTCCACAGGGCACCTGTGTCCACATTATTACTATAGCAACTGATGCTGGTTGCAGTGAAGTCAATATTGACTTCGGGTCAGTTGATCCTGACCCTTGCTGTCTTCCATGTGGACTGCTTTGAGAGTCCAGACAACAAGTTAATCAACATATGGAGTGTGTTTTTGCACAGCATTTGGATCCTAACACAAACAAATGTATAGAAAATTCTAGAGAGTGAAATAGATATAACATGAGGAGAAGCAGCACTTTGACTTCTTTTATCTTTAATTCTGATGAGCAAAGAATGAAACACCTAAAAGAACACTTACTGATCTGCTCCCACTCACACACACACACACACCAGAAAACAGAAACACTAGAACCGAATACAACAAAACTCCAAGGTGCTGGCAGCCCACACAAATATAATTGACATTTAAATATACGAAAGAGAAGGAAACAGAGAAAGAAAGAGGGTGAGAGAGAGACACGGGGGGGAGTGGAGGGAGAGAAATCTACTCTCTGTATACCAAGGAGTTCATGCATTGACAGAGCAACAATACAATAAATGAGTGCATAATTATACTGCTTGACATCCACTGGCGAAGCAGAGGAGATGGCAAAGCAGAGCCATATTTTTCTCTTTTTAATTTCAGAAGGAAATCCTTCACTTGTTTCAACTGCAATCATTCTTTCAACACCTTCTTTTTCATCATCACACCCTATTCATTCTCCTTCCTCAGTCCCTCCACCTTTCCCGATTCCCTCTCCTCTTTTTCATTTCTTTCACATTTCCAAGGGAGATGAAGGCATCCCAGTGGGAGTGGATAGGAATGTGGGAATCATGAGTGTGCGTACGTGCGTGTATGTTCAAGTATGCTTTATGACGCTCTCATCAGTAGATGAGAGGGCGGAAGTCTCCTCTGTAATCTCCTCACACCGACCATCCTGCCCCATCTGTGTGAGCCTCCGTGGATTTGCTCTTTCACACACTCATTTGCCCTCCCTTTCACATTTTTCACAACCTCCCTCATTCACTCCTCCTGCACTTCCTCCTCGACCTCCACTTATCTGTCTTAGTGTCTCTGCTGACTCTCTCACTCTTACCCTATCTTCGTTGATGCCTCTCTTCTCCAAGTGGCAAACCTCTAGAAAGCTTTGAAGCTGGCTAGTTTAATAGCTGGATATCAGTAGTGGTTAAAAAGACCCCGCACACAAACATGCAGGACTGACACCTGCAGTCGAAACCTGCTAATTCATACACACATTTAAAGCTGCTAAGAGCGGCTTTCATCTGCTGGATGACTCATCATATTGTGTCAGCTGATGTTATTGAATGCAAGATAAAATCCCAAATTATCATTCTCCTGCTCTTCAGAAGTTTTTAATCATCAAAACACACAAGTAACCATGAGTGGATATAAACTGAGAGAAGCCTGGGAAGTATTTGAGCAGCTAAAGACCTAAATATTGATTAAAAAAGCCCAACAAGACACTGCTAGACAGTAGCACTGCTAGACTTTGACTGTCCCATCCAATCCTTAATCTTTGAAGGAGGAAGAGAAAGAAAGAAAGAAAGAAAGAAAGAAACCTTTAAAGCCATAAACTTCCTTCAGCTCTCTCTCATGTCTCTATTCTCTCCGTTGTCTGTAGGCTTTTGTGTCTCTTTTCAGTGCTGGCTTTGACAGGGGGGGTGAGTGCTGCTGACCTGGAATAAGAGCTCATGAGGGTGTCATTAACCCGACATTAACCCTACGCTACTGAGAGCCATGCAATGCCTGAGCTTGACCAGTAAACTGGGAGGGATAAGGGAGCAAACACCGATAAGATAAGGTGAAAGCTTGGGTAGATGTGTATATGTGTGCAGGCTTGTTCACTGTGTGTCTGTGAGGAGGACAATAAAATACACCTTAATCAGCTGCTCAGCTGCTTGAGACAAGTGACAGAGAGAGAGAGTGTAAAAGATGGGGAAGGCTGACTGGGAGAGACAGCGAAGGAAAAGGAAAATGACAGAGGAGCGAGAGATAAAGAGTTAAAGAGAAAAAGAGGGAGTGAGGAGGAGGGAGAGCCACGGAGGGGAAGGTGCCCTTTGATTACTATCAGCATTGTTGGCATTTGCATATGCATTTTGCTACCTAAAATGCAAATGCAGCTCATTGCAAATCCAACTAAGAGTCTTGTCTGGGCACTGTATGCGTGCGTGTGTGTATTCTCCTTGACCCCGTGTTATCTGTCATCATCTCTTGTTCCTTCCCGACAGAAAAGTGTAGCTGGAGGAAGTACCCCTGACCGCTCCAGTTTGACACCTGTCTGTGTGATGGATGGAGGGAGGGATGGATTGATGGATGGACGGGCAGATTGAAAGACTGTCACACGAGAAGGCGGGGCAGCGTTAATCACAGGGGTCATGCCCTGTTAATTAAAACCAACAGAAATGCTGGAAAGAAGACATGCTTCTCATCTTTTCCCAACTATATGTCTTTAATGAACTAATTGCCTGCACTCCTCATTATCAAACCAGCATTCCTGTGTGCAAATTCACCTCGTATCCTTCATCTCTTCAGTGCACTTTGCATTTAAAATTAGGAATGTGCTCAGAGGAAGCTGCAGCTTTAAGTTTGTTTAAATTTAAATATTCACAAAAACTTGTGGTTTGAAGTGAAATGTGAGTGGATTTGTGTGTCAGCCCAAAGCCAACAGAGTGAACATTAGCATGTGAAAGGGGCTCTACAACAATAACTCTCCTCCCCATCACACTCAGATCAGCCCCCCCGCCACCAGCAGCAGCAGCAGCAGCAGTACCCCCACCCCCTAATCGTAGATCAGGGAGAAGAGTTGGGAAAGAGAAAGGAGGGGTAATGAGAGAAAGACAGAGAAGGAGAACAGGGTTTGTTCTGACGCCAGAAAGCTGCAGACGGTCTGGTAGGAGCTGGCAAACCTCTACATTAAGACCAACCTGGGAGAGACAATAGCACACACGCTTTGACTGTGATGGTGGAAAGCAAACCATCCCCCCAAACCTGGGTTTGATTTGCTTCAGACAATCATTTGTGCCATTGCACTGTCTTTGCCTGCTTTGTCACCTGCCACACACACACCCACACTTTGTTTTCATTCCTTGTGGGGACTTACATTCATTCCTTATAGACGTATCCTAACCTTAACCATAACCCAATAGACGTATCCTAATCTTAACCATAACCACTACTTGCCTAACCCTAACCCCGACCTCACCCTAACCTTAAACCTGTTGCCACTGAAGGACTTTG